TTTTAAGGAGGGGGTCATAAACAAAGATGTAAGAGAGGAGATTATTTTATGGAGAAATTAATGCCAGTTCATCAAGTCCCTGTCAAGTTTATGAAGGAAAAGAGAGGTCTTCCTTGGAGCTGTATGTCTGCGATTTCCTACTAATTGCGTTAGCCAACAAAATCAGTTGCCTGCAGGCAACTGAGAAAGACTCGGGGTGGAATGAGTTTGGGGAGTGAACAAATTCCTTGCAATTGTCCCCTTTTCTTGTGAAACAGAAAAAATCATGATTCTGTAGATTTCGTGAAGGGATTCTCTGATGAAGGGTTATTATTTCTGGGGTTTCACCTGGATTCACTGTACTGTAATCACATCGCCGCCACTGCTGCCCTGTACTGTGCCTGCTCGGAATGAGGTTACATCCAGAAAACAGTCAGCTGAGGACAATGACCCACATAAACACGAAGGAAAAACAGGGAAGATATTAAAATAATCTGGTGTAGAAAGGCATGGAGGGAAGCATCTCTCCCTCAGTCTGTGGTCCTACTTGTCTCTCTTTTTGGTAACACGTTCTAGATGTGGAAAGAGAAGCACTACAGATGTTGCGCATCAGTCAGGCCCTGGGGGGCACAGACTGAGTTAGCCCATCCTTTTCCCTCTGGTTTTGCCCCAGGTAGACTCAGACCTTCCACAGCTCGTTACCCTTTTCTAGGTGTTTTGCAGCCTGGCCTGGTTCACTCAGAATCTGCCCTCAGTTACGTGTTTGTCTCCAGAAGCAGGCGGACAGAGTCTGGCTGTGGGGAGAGGACAAGCCCTGGCCTGCCGGGGGGGTCACTGTGCAGGAGACACGGTCAATAAAGCAAGAAGACACGCGAAAGCTGGTAAGTGAAAATGTGTGCTCAGCTCCGACACACAGCAAGCGCGACTGGCCTGTAAACAACACTTTTAACTATCTATGGATTTTTATATTCCAGCGTCTGCAGAGCAGAGCTTATTTAGGTTTGGTATTTTGTGGGAATTAGGTTATTACTGCGTTTCCAACGTGCCGCTCAGCTTCGAGTTCATATTCCATCCCATTAAGTGGTGACAGACAGTGGGTACCATCTAGTCAAGACGTTAGCGTCTCCCGTGGAACGGATTTGCTCGTCTCAGCCCAGTTCCTCGTGTGTCTCTCCACAGCTGGCAGCCCCTGGCAAACGCCAAAGGCCAAAGACGGACTGGCTCTCAGAAAACGAGCTCTTTCCATTCCTGAGCGAAATCCTGTCATATCCACGTAAGTTATACCACCAGGTGAGCACGAGAAATGTGTGATGTCTCATATTGTCTCTGCTGTGAGTCCAGGGTACAGTACTTCAGCTAAGCACAAACAGTAATTTCCCTTCTTACAAACCCTACAGCAATAACGTTAATTCACACATGCCCTTTTTAAGGTGATTTATGACAGAACCAATACGAGGGAACAGATGAGCATTCCTAAAAAAAAATTCCTGCGTCTAGGTTCAACTGCCATTTAATAATCACAGTCAACATTCCCTCGTTTGAATACTCCACATCATGTTCAAACCAGAGTGCTCTGCTGTAAGCTGCCTGCAGACCACGCGGGATTAAATGGGGCTTCTAGTGCGATGCATATAACAACCTCTTAAATGATTAGGACACCTGTTGACATTAATATAGAAGCACACATGAAAACAAGTGTGCCACACACTGAAATATATGTACACAAATATTAAGAGGATTAGAGAAATTGCTAAAATGTATGGAGTGGCGTTTAACACAAACATGTCTGGAATCTAGGCAGAATGGAAATAACATACACAGAGCTGATCCCTTGTTAGGTGGCTTTTTTTTTTTTTAGGTAGTTCATCTGGGGTATAAATGTCTCTGTACAAGGAGGTCATTTGCTTACACTTAAAATCTCTTTCTAATATATATCTTTGTTTGGAATCTGCCTCTGATTCATAACCACCTTCATTTAGTAGCTGGCACCTTTGCCATGCGAGCTGCAGGAAAAAGTAATTAAATTTAATAGAAGCCACCCTTGCTTTGAAGCTGCCCTGGATTTAGAGCCACAAGGAGAAGCAATTAAACTCTGGCAGCCAAGGATTCAAACTGAAGTTATATAGTGATTTATTTTTTTAAAGGAAATTTTCTCTGTAAACGGATTTGGATTGTCAGATCTGACTGGATTCAAAGCTATAGAAATTTTCTTCTTTGGGAATCTTCTCTTGAAGCAAAATTTAAAAAAAAAACAACCAAACAACAATTAGATGTGAAATGAGGATCAGTTTTGGAGATCTAGGATATTTTTAATCCTTCTGAACAAACTTTCAAAGAAGAGTTTGTTCTTCTCAGCAAAGTGCTGAATGGAACAGGGAAGCGTGGAAGGAAGACGTCTGCATGTCTGTTTATTTGCAGGCAGGGCAGCTTGTCAGCAGCCTAGGATATAGGTTCATTAGGGGAAGGAATTTCTTTGCACTAGAAGGTATTATAAGCGTTGTTTGAAGCTATCAGGGTTTTTTAAACCAGTAAGAGGCAGAAATCATTATTTTAATTTTGTGATTTTACCAAAAAGTAGTATTTAAATTAAGTAACAAGGACAGGGGAAAATATTCCATAATGCCATAATTGGTGCCAAGCATAGTTCAAGCTATTTAAAAATAGGAGTTTTAGGAGTTTCCTATAAAGGATCAGAAAGGACTCGGTTGAAAAAGGTCTGCTTCCAGTGCAGACGTTAGTCAGAAAAGCAAACTGGTAATTCGGTTAATACTTACAAGGAGGCAAAATTGTCCTAATCTTCACCAACCCCTGGAAATATTTGTAGAGTCTTAGCTAAGCCAGAGGCATGTGTGAAAAAAATAATTATTGTCATGCACGTATTTTGGAATAAATGACTGTCTATTCTGAGAAATAAATGCCTTTAGGCTCATTACAGTCCATGGTCTGCGGATCAGACTCGGTGAGTTGATACTGCTCTGGCTGGAGTCATGGTAAAGCTACACTGGCCATATCCAGGGAAGTGTCTGGGATCCGGTAACTTGCTGGGAAACGTATTATTGTATCACTGCCCATTATAAGGTAGTTGGGGGCAGACGTGTTGGGAATGGCAAGCTGTACACCCCCGAGAAGGCTTCCCTGGCAGCGGGGACCGGCCTGTGAAAGGTGAACTGGCAAACAGTGCTGGGGAGCCATCAACTCTGCGAGGAATGTTTGACCCCAACGTTTTGGATGTCCCAGCTGTAATCTTTGACAATGGGTCTGGGCTATTCATGGGGACAGTGGCCCAAGATCTGTTTTTACAGCAATTGTTGGTCGCTCAAAAGTCAAAGCTCCAGTGCTGGGAGCTGGACAGAAAGAATGTTACATTGGAGAAGCTCAGTCCAAAAGAGGTGTCCTGTCTTTGAATTATCCAATGGACCATGCCACAGTTACACGCTAGGATGATATGGAAAGGATCTGGAGACTTGTTGATGAGTATGAGCTGAGAATCAAAGCCGCGGAAGGCCAACACTGCTGACTGAAGTCCCCCTCGATCATCTGCAGAACCAGGAAAAAATGATGGAGATCATGTTCAAAGGCGTCATGGTGCCGGCTGTGTACATTGCAGTCCAGGCAACTCTGGCGCTCTGTTCATCGGCCCGTTTGACTGGAATAGCCATGGACAGTGGGGATGTCCGCATATATGAAGGATACTGTCCGCACTGTTCCCATATATGAAGGATACCGTTTACCCCATTCTGTCTCCAGGCTGGGTGTTGCTGGCAAGGATATAGTTGAATATAGCTGAACGCGCTTTTGTTAACACAGTTGAAAGGGAAATTGTGAGAGATATCAAAGAGAAGTTGTGCTACATAGCTTTAGACCCTATCCAATTAATGAAAGCAAAGCCAGAAAAATCATGAAAGAATACAGATTGCCTGACAACTGTATCATCCAGATAGGCAACCAGCTATTTCATGCACCAGAGACCCTTTTTGTGCCTGCAGACATTGGAGTTGAAGCTCCCGCTGTGCACAAAATGATCTTTAACATCATCATGAAGCATGACATTGACGTGCTCAGGAATCTTTATGGCGACATCCTGCCTTGAGGTGGGTCCACACTCTTCCCTGGCCTGCAGGAGCGGATCCTGAAGGAGATGAAGCTGCAAGTGCCTGCTGTGAGAGGATCATCGCACCCCCCAAGAGAAAATACTGAGTGTGGATTGGGGCCTCCATCCTCACCTGCCTCACATCTTTCAAACCGATGTGGATCACCATGAGCAATTACAATGATTTTGGGGCAGCTGTCAGTCACCAGAAATGCTTTTAAGGAGCACATCAGACCAAGTCAATGGCTTGCTACAATGCATGAGCAAGAAACCCTGCTGCGAGCTGACTGACCTAGAAGGTGTACAGCTGTGTGTGTGTTTGTTGGCTGACAAAACCTATATGAAAATAAAACATTGAAAACATTGGTAATGAGGATCTTATTGTTTACCATCTCCCTTCCCTTTCGCCTCCACAGAGTTTACAGGTGTGCACATATCACGGGGATGCAGTAACTCGTTAACCGGCTCGCAGCCTGCCTTGGAGCCATATGGGGAGCAGCACACCTCCTCTGCTGGGAGATTCTTCCCTCTAAGGCCTTTGAGCTATCTGGGGTTTGTATTCTGAAACGAGCTCTCACGTTATTTTTGACCTCGTTAAAAATGTTTCCTTTAGAAACCCAGCAAAACCCCAAACAGAATCCAAATATAAATCAATGCAAATGCAATTACTGTAACCGACCCTCCTCTGTGCCTGAGGGTCTGAAAAAAATCCATTGATTCTCTGCTGTAATTTATCTGTGATGTAGGAACACCCAGTTTCACTTCCAAGTACAGGCACCACCAGCTCCCTGAGGAAACAGTGCTGCCGGCGCAGCTGCGGAGGACAGTGAGCTCGGCGGAGCGGTGCCTGGATGCGACTGGGGGATCTAGAACATCTCGCCGATGCTCTGTGCCCACAGCCGCTGCCCGGGACAGCACTGTCCTGTGCAGGATGGCCAACGCCGCGGCGGCAGGGACCTGCGCAGTGATTTTTGACGTCGGCTCTGGGCAGCGTAAGGAGGGTCTGTCAGGGGAACAGGCACCCTATTTGGTTATTTCTACTGTTGTGGGATACCCAAAATTCATTCACACTTTTCGTGTTTGGGGTAAGTCATAAGGACTGCTATATTGGGAAGAAGCCCAGTCCAAAATGGGTATTTTGTCTTTTACTTACCCAATGGAAAATGGGGTAGTTACATCCTGGGTTGTCATGGAGAAGGTTTGGAGAGACTTATACAAACATGAACTTAAAATGAAACCGCAGGAGGGGCCAGCACTGCTGACCAAGACCCCTCTCAATCCTTTGTCCCACCATGAAAAAATGGCTGAGACGATGTTTGGAAGCTTCCAGGTACCTGCTCCTTTCGTGACTCTGCAGCACTCACAGCCCTGTACGCCTGTGCCCGACAACGCAACCAGTGCTGGACTGTGGCAGTGGTGTCACCGTCACGGCTCCTGTCTACAAAGGCTGTTACATGGCATTTCCAGGCTGGATTTTGCAGGCAGAGGTGTGACCAAATACCTTGCCAGGCTCCTCTCAGAGACCCGGCACTCCTTTGTAAGCACAGCAGAGAGAGAAGTTGTCAGGGATATGAAGGAGAAGCTGTGCTGTGTTGCTTTTGATCCTAGCCAAAATATGTAGGAAAAGCCTGAAAAACTTACATGCGAACACATTCTCCCTGATGGAAGGGCTGTCAAGGCAGGAGAGCAGCTATTCTGAGCTCCCAAAGCGCTTTTTGTGCCCACAGAGGCAGAAGTCCCAGGGCCGGGAGTTGGGAGGATGGTCCTCCAGAGCACCACCGGGTGTTGTGAGCATATCCAGTCCGACATCCAAAGGAACATGCTGCTATCAGGCGGATCGACTCTTTTCTGAGGTTTCAGGGAGAGGTTTTTGAAGGAGCTCCAGGCAGAATCTCCCAACACAACTCATGTCAAGATCATCTCGCCGCAAGATCAGATGTACTCCGTGTGGATTGGTGCTTCCATCCTTGCCACCTTAAGAGTGTTTAGGAATACGTGGGTTACCAGGGAAGACTATAATGAGGTTGGACCAACAGTACTCCACAGAAAATGCTTTTGAAAAATTCAGTAGGTCCATCCAGGAATTTTTTTAAGTGCCAATCTGAACAGCTGGAGAGCAGTTAATAAATCAGTACAAAAATAATTGATTTATAGTAACTGATTTTATAGCTTACTAAAGAAAGGTCCCTTGTGCATTGGGTTGAAGAAAGAGTCCTTGTTCAGAGCATTTTTGCTATCCAAGATGTTGGTTTTAATTCTGGAAATGTGTTGATCCCTGCTAGAACTGCAAACAGTTTGTCAGAATTTTAAACACTTGAGAACAAGCAACCTCCATCCCATGCCCGTGGGGGCTGGCTCCTTGCCATCCGCCGTAAACTTCCAAAGAGTGGAAAGAGACCTCTGATGGAGAAATAGAGGGCTCCGGGGAATTGCTGACCCTTCACCATAGCACTGGAGATCTCCTGTAGCAGCCCTGGAGGACCTCAGAGGGAACTGGACTTCTAAATTTGGTTTTGCTCATGAAATGAAAATAAGTTGATCCGGCTGCTAAAGTAGAGCTCTCAAACCGGGAATATCTCGGTGCTACTAGCGGCCTTGCCGTGTGATTTGCTATGTCACATCACGTAAGACATCGCCTCTGTTTGTCCATCTGTGGGATTTCACTAGTGTTCTAGCATAGGGATTATGTGAGACTACATTTAGGTAACTTAATACAATATTAATTAAAATTAGTGAATTAATCAGAGAGCACAAGGTGAAAGGTATTTAGTTTGGGTTTATCCTTAGAGGACTGCTGAACAAATGTTTTGATGTCAGGCATCCAAGAGAAAGTGGAGGCGTTGGGCTGAGGCAGCTGACACTGATTCTCTTTCGGGAAAAGCTGAATCTGTTGGGGGAAAGTGTTATTCCTCTACCTCATCACCAAGAGCTAAGGAAAGTAACATCATAATCGTGCACATATTTGCTTGAATTACTAAGCAAATCTGCTTTGCCAAGCTCAATTTTTATTAATAATTCCACCAAATAATCTTAACTAGCATAAACATCATGGTTAACTGATTGGATTTCCAGAGTGAACTATGAAATTTGTAACAAAAGTGTGAATTTTCAGCAGTGAAGTTTGCATTCAAATAAACAACTTGAAAATTATGCATTTACAGCGATCATCTTTATCCACACCTGCAAATATATGCACTGCATCCAGTCAGGCGATGGAAATCTCATCATGATTTGTAAAACTGATTAGCACTATGATTTGTAGATTGTTCAAAAACTATTGGAAAAAACCCCTCAAGATATACCTGAGAACTTCTTGAGTTTGTTCAAGACTAACATGAAAACAGGAAAAGAGCTGAAGTCTGTTTGTTAATTACTCAGCACAGTGTCTGGCTATTTTCATTCAGCTCCAGAGATGAATCTTCAAACTCATTGATGCCCTCTGCTGCCTTGGGACTGATTAGTCATCTATCACCTCCTCTCACTGCCCTTTGAAGAATCACGACACTCTTTTCCTTTTCTACAAGACATTTACAAGTGCTCTGAAGAGAGACACATCCAACTCCCTGTTCGGTTGCCCACCGAGCCCCGGAGCACTCCCTCGGCAGGGGAACGGGAAAATCAAAGGAGCTGAGAGACGCAGCTGCGGAGGACGAGGGTGGGGGAGTGGTGGACGATTTGTGGATGACTCCAGCAGTAACTCCAGCAAGACCCACCTAACTTCACTATCCCCAAGGATCAGAGCGAAAGCATGAAGCAAAGAGTGGAGAAAAGCCCTAAGGCTTCAAAAAGTTGGGGTGTGTATTACTCCATCAAGTTAATGCAAGTATTCAGAGCGCTTTTAGAGCTGTTAGGAAAGCAGAATCAGCAGTCTTGGATCTTTCTTCTATTGCGGTATGTTACCTTTTAGCAGCCCACTGGAAATGTGTAAACAAACGAGGTACAACTGTAGACAGCTTAAATATTTTACAGCTCACAGATTTCCATATGAGGAGGGATTTGCAGTGACTTAAGTGTTTAGACTCCTGCTCCAATAATCTAATGCAAACAAAAAATGCAAAAAAACAGTGTGCTGGAAAGCAGAGGGAACCTGAGCGAACAGTGCAACTCAAGGTTGTGGTCAGGAAGGAGAAAGGAAAAGCAAAGGGCATGATAACCCTGCAAACCCAGCGGCGGACACAAAACGTGTTTGGAGAGTGACACCTAGCAGAGCTCTGTGGGTGCTTTTAATGAGGTTTCACCCTTGCAGAACAAGATACTGCCTGATGTCGCCAGGACGGATTCATTGATGCCAAACTTGTTTTACATCAGGGCACCTGGCTCAGCTCCTCCCAGCCGAAAATCGTTCAACAAGCCATTATTACAGGTGTGTAACACCCCCAGTACCGGTTTGGCCTGGCTGCTGCCATTTACCTCTTAGACATGACTTTGCTCAAGGACACACAAGAAGATAGCAGAAGCTGGCACGTGTTCCCTGACTCTAGACTTGGTATCGGTCTCTTGGTCACCTTGTGTTTCCATCACTGCACAGGGCACTGGAAATTCATTACTTCGTTTATGTTTCAGTTTTGGTTTTAAGAGGTCTGAGGTCTTAATCATTTGGGGGCCTTATTCCCTTGGCCCTCACGCCATAGAAAATGAATTGCAGGAATCCTTCCTTGGGTGTATTCCCACCTATGTTCCACCTGTCCTCTGGATACATGGAGGATTTGTATGGTAAAATCTTTCCAGCCTCAGGAAAGCAACACTAGTCTGGTGAATGTAGAACTGGTTGCAGGGATTAGGGAGGCCTGAGTTAATTCCTAGATTTACCAGTGGTTAGTGAAATGATAAGTTTAATCTTGGGCACATCAGGCGTCGGTTCCCACTTATAAACACCCTTTGTTTGTTTCACCCTTTACATCTCCCGCAAGCTATTTGGGGTAAGCGCTGTCCCCCGATTTAAGAGCATGTATCAGTGCAAAGATCTGGAACTTTGGGGCCACAAGATCAGAAACACAAAATCATCTGTGAAGTTTGCACTGGAGTTACACAAAAATCTCAACCTGCTCCTGGTAATTTTTTCCTCCCTCCCCAAGGCTCCTTTAAGGTTCAATCCAGCGGCAGCTCTTTATTTTCTTTTAAATGTCAAACAATTCATCATTTTGCATTTTCCCCATTCCCTGCAAATTTAAAGGTTTTATTGGTATGCAGTAATGTCAGCCGGGGACAATGCGCACTGATTACCCCAAACAATGTGGTTCTTGTCACCCTGCCCATTTTTGGTTGCCAGCTCTCAAGAACCGTAGGAGAGCTCTTGCTTTTGCCCTCTCCTCCCTGTTACCATATGCACAACAAAAAGGCTGGGTTCAAATATACAACAGACAAATAATTATTATCTTTACTTTACTTTACTATTTACTTTACTATTCAAATCTCCTGTCCCCTGCCCTCATCCGTGCTGGGCTGTGTGAGCACACTGCTGTAAAAGGTGCCCTCGCTCCTGCCTCGTGGATCAGAGAATCAGGGGATCTTCTGGCTTGGAAGGGACCTTTAAGATCATCAAGCCCAACCATCAACCCACCACTGCCAAACCCACCACTGAACCACATCCCTCAGCACCACATCTGCCTGTCTGTTAAATACCTCCAGGGATGGTGATTCAACCACGTCCCTGGGCAGCCTGTTCCGATGCTTGACAACCCTTTTGGTGAAGAATTTTTGCCTAATATCCATCCTAAACCTCCCCTGGCGCAATGTGGGGCTGTTTCCTCTTGTCCTATCGCTTGTATCACAGGTCTCGGGGAGGACGGTGATGGCCAGCTTGTTCTGAAAGCGCTGGATAGAGAGTGCCAAGCGCGTCCCTTGGGAAGGGGCGCAGAGGAAGGGAGGGAAACGAGCCCCTTTGTGTCCCCCGCTGGGGCAATGCTTCGGGCACAGCACAGAGTTCAGAAACGCCGCGCTTATGGTCTCGTCACGCCAGGACTGGTAGCCAGGCTGGGCAAGCAAGGTCAAAGCCAAATTGTCTGGGTAAAATAGGCGTTTCTTCACCATCCATGGTCAGACTGAAGTGATGCGGTGTGCAGCCTACCCCCGACAGAAACAACAGCTGCTCGTAGGAGTGTGGCAGTTGCCGAAGCCCCGCGGCAACTGCCCAACTGCGTATGGGCAGCTCCATCAGTTCATGTGCCGAGCAACTGGGAAGCCCACGTCCATTCCTCCAACTTCGGAAACATCCAGGTGAGTACCTGGATACGGGGGATTTGATGCAGAGGAGGTAAGAATGTTCTAGAGCTTTTCCCAGCAGAGGTGTCGCTGCATGCAGTAAGATGTAGCTCTGGCTGAGGGGCTCTGCAGTCATTATACACACCCCTGAACACGTGCACCCACATGTACACACACACACACACACACTGATTTTATTAAGCCGTTCCATGCAAGTATTTTATATATGTATATATTTTTTTATTTGGAAAACTTCAGAGTGCTTTTTTTCACACACAGTAAAGTTAGCTTTGCCGAGATTCATTAGTCCCCTTTTCCCCTGTGTGTAAATGGATCTCTCTCAGTTATGCAACGCAAGGGTACACAACCATGAAAAGTGCAGAGGCAGCCAAAAAAAGCATTGTTCTGAACTCGGACGTG